ATCACGTAATGTTTGCCAGAATCTCCATAATGCATGTTTAAAAGCGATGGTAACAAGGGCAAAAGTTTACATTGAAAGAAATGGGGGGCATGCGGAAGAACACTGGGGCTATGCTGTGGCAAGAATAGGATCCTATTCTGTGGTTGTCTTTGAATTAATCATTCTGGTAGTGTACTTAATGCTCCACGCTGTGGAAACCTGTGATGCATCTGGTGCAAACCTGTGATGCATCTGGTGCAAAGCCATTTCTGACACGTTCCATTAAACAACTTTGTGCTCAGTCATGTGTGATTCATATGTGGGTTTCTTGGTATCATACGAAAGAAGATATCATACTAAAACAGATTATAATTACCATTTACTCAAATAATTAGACACATTAAAGAAACAGATTATTTAATCTCGGTTTCCTTGATTTAGACATCTGTTTATTTGGTATAATATGATGTCCAAAAGCTGCCAAACTTACTTGATCGACTGGAATCCTGCTACTGTGTAATTTTAACGTGTTTTAATGGGGTACGGTAATGGGTACAATAAAGGATCGATAGGCCCCCATACATTTAGTCAGGCACTCTTTTCGGATCACGTCATTTCTGTATTAAACATTTACATCTGGGAACCAGTTTATTTCGGTATTTGTAGTTGCGGTACGTGCGTATAAGCACATGTACGTACATGTATACATCATTTCTAGGGAAAAAAGTGAGGGCTTAAAAAAAACGCGTTCCCACACCGCTTTTGGGGTCAGCCCCTGACCAGAAACCAGAGACTTTTTGGCCTAACCTCACCTATTCAGATTTGTAACAGCTGTCCAGTAATGAAATATTTTGACCTACGGCAGTAACCCTACAATAAATACGGGCGATTCACAATGGTGCGCCTCCAAGAGTTTGAAACGCGTTGGCCGATCACAATGCGCGAAATCTGTCGACCGCTTTCCAAACGCACTGAATATAGGGTCGACAGATTTCGCGCATTGTGATTGGCCAAGGAGTTGCAAACTCTAGCAGGCGCACTATTGTGAAACGCTCGTACTGAGTGAAACTATTTCTGTGACGTCACTCCTTTGTTCAACTGTAGATTATTTCTTACGTATTTACAGCTAAACTGCAACCAATCTACAGCTATTCCGAACGACAAAAGGATTACCCTTGTGCCCCCCCCCCGTTTTGGTCAAAGAATTTGTGTCGGGGGGGTTGGATTGAGAGAAAACATTGGATGGCGCCGTGACACTGATTCTACTGGGCCTCGTAACAGGTACAATGGGAAAATTTAAGGGATTCCGAGAGCGCCCGCACTCCGGCCTTATCGAGCATGTTTGCCTTTCTCCATTGAAAATGACGTATATTTTGTTACCTCTCGAGTTTTCAGGATCAGCTTTATAGATGCAAGATTTTCAACAAGGATTTGTACTTTACTATTCACCTTTCAATGAGGAATAAAACTGATGTATTTTGGCTGCTTTTCTGTGCCTACGTTTGCCAGTCCTTATATGTTGGATTAGTTTAATTGAATTGATGTAAATTCGGGTACATCTTCTAGTTGTTTGTTTTTGTTATGTAAGAAACACGAAGCACTGTATTTGGTTCAAGTAGAATTTGTATATGCAATACAGAGGGTGATGAGGAGTCACCGTACATACGGTACCTTACCTTTACAAATCCATCTTTCGATACTACGCTTGGGGCTACGGATGAGAGACATTGTCCCTCGCAACTGGTCAGTGTTACATTGCCGCGGCACCGGCGGGTGACGCCCGTGTCCCCCTCCCGAAAGCTCCTCTCCACCTCAATCCGGATGGTCTCCAGTCCACAGAACTGGGACAGGGCGGCCGTTGCCACCCACCCCCTGCCGGAGTGCTCGGGGTGGTGCAACTGCGCTGTCAGCAGGAAGAAAAGTAACACCAGAGGCCCCCTACTCGCGAAGGTGAGGCCTGCTCTTGTGTTGCGTTGTTGAAGTCCTCGGTTATTCCGATTGCATTGGTGCATTTTCCCCTCAGCTTTACACCGTGACAGACTAACAGTCTTCATCCGGTGGTTATGGATGCCCCAATCAATTATTCCTCCCAACTGTATTGCACCTAGGAACCGATTACACGCCTTATATATCCTTACAACTGATTCCTATTACAAATGCTGGGAAATTGATCATCCATGATGATAATGGGCGTCTTTTTCCCTGTCTGTCTGGCGCCGGAGGTTGCCGAGAAATGGACACCTTAAATCACAAAACCGCGGATGCGGTTTGAAATAACAAATTACATTCGCGCACGAGTGATATATTACATTGATCGGGAGGATCGCCCTCGGTCGAGACGGAAAACACACAATGACGAGACAAAAACTGAAAAGGTTCCTTTATGGCACCTAGCTGATGCAGCGATCGGAGAGCGGGGGAAGAGAAGGCGAGTGGGCCGTCAAATGACTCCCTGACCTTGTAAGGAGCGAACGCCAATTGCCGTGCGAATTTGGAGTGCCGATATTAAATTGAACAATAGATACGGCATTTATATTTCATGAAAACCACCTGCGGGCCTTGTCGTGTTTTGATGTTTGCTCGGCAAAAGTGTAACCCCTAGTTGCGATAATGGATTCGGAATTTCTTGAGGATTTGTCTTCGCTAGTGCACAAATTCTGCAAAAGTATTTTTGAAAGGGCAAGGGCTATGCAAGATAGAGAAAACCGTCTTATATAAACAGCCTACATTTCAGGAGCGGGGGAGGGGAAAATTTGATCAAACGGGGGAGGGTGTGCTACATGACATTGTGGTTGTGCTTTTTTGACTGAAAGAAAAAAAACAGTTGGAAATAAGTGGGGGGGAGCAACACCCAGGATCTGCCCCTGTATTCCGGGACAAAAATAGTTATCCTTTTCACCCTCTTTTAAAAATCATTTACGACACATTTGCACCAAGTAATTTGCTGGTGTCCAACAAAATAGAATTCAAAAATGTAAGTATCAAGTTCAGAAGTAACAAGTTATGAGTACTGATTTTTAAGAGGCATGAGTGGTGGTGAAGCTCGCTTCATTTCCTGGTCAACTTGCATTGAAACATCCTGGGGCCTTTTTTGTTCATTTGAGTGATCAATTAAAAAACAGAAATGTCCATAATGGTCAATGATAAGTAAATGTTGCGTCACAAAGAGGATGGGTACCTGTCGTAACAGCGATGCACAAGGAAAAGTCAGAAGAAATGAACTGCGTTTTGCAGTACATGAACATGGTCACCAGCGTGAAGACCAATGGCCGTTATACTCTTTCAAGTTTCTTTGTTTTGGTTCGTAGCGGTATGTAATGCTTTATTTTGCTTAGAAATTTGCCTATTCATAGGACACGCTTTCCAAAACGGCACGCCTCTATCTGTTTCCACAAGTACCCATGCAGTACCCATGTGTATATATTTATTCTGGTTTATTCAATTAAAATATACAGGGTAGGCAGCCACATCAGGGTCGCCGATAAAACCCCATTTACAATAATCTAAAGGCGTCACATATCAGTAGAAGGGAATATAAAAAGATAAGAGTATGGAAAATGATTCATAATTAAAATAAAAGTAAAAATAAAAATTATGAAACGCCGTTATAAATATATATTCACCAAACAGGGGAAAAACAAACAAAACAAAAACATTGAAGACAGTTCATTCAGTGTATGTGATACACGTTTATCTACCATAAATGGCCCACACTAATCTACTCTTCGAGGGGAGAGCCGTGGACTGCATTCCGCTACCAATAATTCAAATCCGCAGGCTTTTTGTAACAGGTCGGACCGCGGCTGAAATATTTTCAGTCTATTGCACCCAGCAGATGGTATGGCCTGATATGTGAGGGGGCGTTACTTAATTTTATTATCTGGTCGTATATTTAGAAGCAATAATGAAGACCGGTGCTTCGATTAAGGATGGAGGGAGATGGCTTTATAGTTGCACCACAGGGATTTAAAAAAAAAAACGACTTTTTAAGAGACGTTGAGGAATAAGACCAAACTCAGTTCGTGTTGACAGGATGCTTTGTTCTTTGGTTTCCAGATACAAGCTTGGCAAGACGTCACAGGGCTTTATTTGGGCTCATGGATCAATACACGGGGATTTGCTTACAACATCAAATGACATTTGCTTTTTCCTTTATTTTTTTTTTCAAAAGCGGCTGCATTTATAATTCATCACAATGACTACGATCAGATTTCTGCTTTGATAACGCTGTGTAAATATTACTCGGGAAGAGTATGGGTTTTATTACGACTTCATGATGAACAAATGGCGAAAGCTGGTTATGGTTTGTAGAAACTCGATAATGTAATGCGTGGTTGAATAATAGATGTCGTTCAATTGTCCTCAGTCCTTTTCCCCAGGGGAGTATCTTAGATTTTCACCTTCTCGCCATCGCATCCCAGAGGCACCGAGGTTCACCAACTATGTCTAATTCCTCGACGTATCCGTACACATTGTCATTTTGTGCTTTCAAGATAAAACCCGGGGGAATCGCAACGGTGCAAGCCCATGGGCAAACGTCATTGCCTAGCAACGACCCAGCGAGCCCCCATTCAACCTCAGAAACACAACCATACAACCCGGAAGAGGATCTGGCCATAATTAATATTAGAGCATCCTCTTCTCGTGCATTATCCTCCGATCCAACGTGACGGATATTCCTGCACTCGGTATAAATCGTCGCTGATAGTGGGAAGCTCGTTAGGCTAATTGTGATGAGCGAAGATGACACACTCAACCCTCAGGTAGGATATAGTGAGAAATCCCGCCCAGGGCCTGCTAACCCCCCCCCATTTCATAAGAGTTCCACCGGTTAAAACCGATGCCTCTTGAGTGGTGGAACTCGCGTAGAATAGGTTATTAGCCTCAGCTAGTAGCTGCTATCTATGCAGAAATAGTTCTGATGACCCATTTTTGACGTGTGTCGGGTTTTCGTTTCCCCTTTAATGGCAGCCGCGAGGCACGAGAAATTCCTGGCTTATCACAAAATGGCTTCGTGATAAAGTCATGGGTGCGCCGGTCAGAAACACCACCTGAATTAGAATTTAAGAACATTCTGAAAGGGACAGAACAAGGGGAAAGCTACCTTGGTGGGACAGTGTCGGTAGGAAAGTGAATTTCGTTGGTTTGAAGCCAACTTGATTTTAAAATCAAGATGTAAGTATGATTTTGATATTTCTTTCTCTATTTCATTATATCTTTATCGACATTAAACGCATTCACGTTATTTGTTTTTGTACGTGCTTGTTTGTCCTCTTTCTGTAAAGCCACGAAGAAAAAACAATGAAATTCGCGCATACGTCGCATCATGAAAGCGCGGCGTTCAGAATAAACCGTCGTGGATAAGATGGGTCTAAAGCTCGTCTTTAAGAAGTCACGCAAACTTTCATACTTTGAGAGGGTGTGGCCGCCGGCTACTGTGCTTGGAGTCAAAACCGGCTGCTGTGTCCCTTCAACATACATCAACTGAAGACGGGGGGGGTATTCTTGAGTACAAATTAGACGCCAGAATTCATGTCAACCTCGCGTTAAGAGTATTTGTCCTTGTTAAATGCCCGTCACATTCCAGCCCTCGAAACGACAGAATAGCATCCCTGCTTGTTTCTGGACATGGAATGTGCTGGGTACTTCCTCTGTCTGCTCGTCCTACAATGCCTCGTCCCCAGTACCCGCTCCTACCAACCGGGGGACTGCAACCTGTCGTTCCAGAGCATCGAAATACAGAAAGACGTGGTGCTGGCCAGCGGGCAGGTAGCGGTGTGCTTCGGCACGGCCACGGCGTCTTCCTGCCATGGAGCCTGTCCTTCCTTCACTGCATCGTCCATCTACAATCCGGCAGGATTGACCAAGGTATTCTACAAAGTCGTAATCAGTTTATTGCAAATCCGTCACAAGTCAATCGCAACTCGTATGCTAGTCACAAACTGTCAATGTTCAAAATGACTACGGCAAAGGTTATTCTTTGTAAACTGATGCTTGATGTTATTTGTGACTGGCCCATGACCAGCAGTTTTACCCCTCTTATTGTGATGTAAGCAGCTTCAGTTATGGGAGGTTCTTATAGAAGTCCTTATGCATTCCGTGAATTTCAGATATACCTGCAGGGCAGTGGCGCAACTACGGGGATGGCAAGAGGGTACGCCCCTCGAAGCATATCTCCCGGGCTTACAAACTAGACAAGTAAAACAAATCTGGTGATAGTACACCTTGGCCATTATTTTAACTGTGACAGAACCCACTGAGTGTCCCCCTCCAGATAATGAGGGTTCTTTAAGTACCCCCTGCAAAATGTAGCCCACTGCTACAGGGAGCCAGTTACCCTCGAGAGCTCCGAGGTAATGGGCGACCAACGACTGAACCAATTCGGCCGCTAGTACGTCCGGAGTTTCAGGAGAAACAGTGCAATGTCGTCACAACGGAATTGTTGATCTGCATAGGTTATCGTTTTACATCAGTCCTTGCCTTTATTTCGGATAGGGCCTATCCAAGATGCATGAGATCTTCCATAACGATAAATCGTCCAAGCACATGTACTTCTTTCGTTTCCATTCACCATTACGCCCCCTCCCGGTTTTAACCGTTCATCCATATGTAGAAATGCACCTGTTGTCGAGAGAAAGAGATGATAACACAGTCGGTCATCCTATCACCGTGCTTCGATCCCAACAACGGCGAACAGATTGTTGGTGAATATTTCATGGACGAATTTCAGCAACCGTCAGGCTGCGAATGTCAACCGTGCACTCTTTGAGATGGAGTCCACTTGAAGTACATTTTGCCAGGTGAACTTGAAGTACGGTGACTTTGAAAAGACATTGCTAATAATTCCCTTGCACTCCATGTAACACAGTGAAACAATTCATGGCACTGCGATATAAACCTTCCACTTTGAAAACAAGTCGGAAGAAATTTGTGATGTGTGTGAAATTCGCGATGGACTAGAATTTGGAATGTGTTTTGTGTTACAGGGTACGATTTCCGTCAATTGTAGTTTACTTCGACTAAACCGTTACTTGTACCATTAGTAGTCAGTGTTATTGTACAATTGTTGTATTTGTAATTTATTTCAGTAAAACGTCAAACTCTCTTGCCCTAAGACGTCTTTGCAAACTTCAACTAATGGTATCACAGAGAACCTGCGGGATGCCATTTTCATTGTTTGCATGACAGATCACGTGACAAACGTTGTCACGGTCACATTGCTCGACATACCAGATACTTAAACCATGTCAAGCGATATTAGGTAGCAAAGGCTGACCTTGCGTGCATTTATTTCTTCTGCAATTCAATTTACATTCAGCCTGCTTGGTATTACTGTAAATAGCACTCTACACGTATCAAATGTACTTTTCGATGAAGAGCGGTTTCAGTTTATTGCTTAGCACACATGCACGCAAACAACATGACAACTTGGAGAATTTAAAAAGTTATGAATTTACAGATGCTGAACGTTGGGCAGCCAACCACTGAAGTGACGGTCTGTTAAATAATATTACCTACAACTTACGCAAACACATCAGAAAGGTGGGTCTTCTCATCATGTGGTTATTGCATGGATGTCTCCAACATACACAAGTGCCTTACATATAATTTTTTACATAGCAGCTATGATGAAAAGATACTGCCATTAGTAAGGCAATTATCTTTTCATCCCTCCAGTCAATTTCTGGCTTTCCAAGGGCACCGTTTATATTACTATGAACAGAGCGCCCTCAACACCAGGTTTCGGACACGTGCTCCTCGGCTCTATGACTGGCTGGCTTAAATGTAACCGTTCTCTAAAAATCCAGAGAGAATTTCTAGCCACTGTCAAAGAACTTCCAACCTTTTAGATAAATGTCCTAAACGAAGTCATTTACTTGACCAAATGCCCCAGAAAATTCAGCTCACTTCATCCCAATCCCCGGCCCCAAGCACTAAGCACTAATAAATCAATCGCGCCCTCTAACTCACGTGACCTGTAGTGGTATTAAACATTAATAAACATGGCGTCCACCAAAGTCAGAGTGTTTCAAAAGTATCATTTACCAAGAACAAAACCGGCGGTGGGCACCGTGACTACGTGCTGGGTACTTTACCGTACATCGGCTCTATTGTTTGTAAATTACACTCAAAACACACTTTGCTATGGGGGCGACTCTCACTAGGCCTCTAGGACACGTGATTTAGCGGGCACAATCGGTCTATTCTATCCTCACTATGGGGCATAATATAGCATTTACCGTACTTTGAAAAATATTTTTGACATACAAGTACATCTAAAACATGCAGATGCAGATCTTGTACACGCAGCACAGGCCTTTCACAACAGGCGAATGTTTTTATTGTAAAATGACATTCATACACGTTTTTTTGTTTCATTTACAAACAGCGTTCACTGTTGGACGACAATTGAAAATGGACGTAGCACTCCAACTCAATTCAACTCAAACAAACAGAGAATCCTGAAGTAGGTTGCAACTAAAATATTTATATTTAAAAGAGACTATTTTTTACTCTTGGGGTCGACGTCAGCAAATTACACGACATTCTGAAGACTACAATACCACACTTTCAAGATCCACGTAGCTAGGCTGAAAAGAAGTACTAATTCGGGTTGGCGAACACGGGAACTTTTGGAATGACTGATGCATCTCGTGTAGTGACAAGGGGGCAGTGTGTACCATTTCCCTCAATTCTACATACGGACGGTTTAGCAACACAGTTCACTCTTTTGCTGACATAAACTGTCTGGAGTTTTTCCAAACTTGCTGTGCAGGAATCGGACCCAAAAAATGAGGGACATGAAATATCACGTAATCTTACGGTGACTGAGGTAACTACCTTCCCCATCTTCTGCTTCTTTACAAAATGTTGTGATAGATGGCTTTGGTTTTTTTTGAGTCCCGCATTACAGTCGACAGCATAAAAGTATAGACGGATCCAGTGCCAAATTTCCAGAGATGGGGCGCCAAACAATTTCACATTTTTCTCGCAACCTGTTAAGGCCTTCCTAATAGACCAGGTTCCATTTGGGGGCTCTACACGCTTTTGGTAGGAAGAGAAGTGGAATTACATGTAGACCCAAAACACTGCCTTTCCTTTACTTGAAACACGGCCCTCTTAGGGGAGGGGCATGGTCCCTACCCCCCTCCCCCAATGCCCTAGTTACATAAACGTTGCTGCATTGTTATGTCAAAGAGCCAGTCAGATGCTTCATGTACAATGTCTCTTGCATTCAGAAGAATATTTATACAAATACTTACGCTGGCAGCCGAGTATAATGCCCAAAATGCACACAAAAATTACTCCCCAATATGCATTTCTTGTCTTTATCTTTATGTACATGTATACTAACCGAAATCAAAAATAAAATTGAGAGATTCTGAATACCTGTGGAGAATAATGCAGAATATACGGTTATCTGTTCATTCTTTAATAATAAAGATCAAAGTTCTCTTAAAGACTTTGTTACCGTTGAATGAGCTCATGAAGTGAAAAAGAAATCTAGGAAAGCCCTGGAGTGAAGTTTATACATATATTTTCAAAAAGTGAAGTATCCTTTTTTTTAAGTTCGTTATATATGAGTTATATTTTTTGAAGTTTGTTTTTGTGAGAAATAAATCCCAACCTGTCAATGTATATCTCCTGAAACTTAACTTGAAAATAATATATTTCATGAAAAACAAAACTTCATCCAAAATATCTCGTAAAAACGATTTGTTACCAAAAATAGAAAAAATGTTTCTAACTATAGATCTCATCAAAACAAACTGGAGAATGTATGTCTCGAACAAATGAACTTTGGAAAAAAATGTAAAAGCGAAGTTGGAAAAAATATCTCTCCTAAAAGCGGACTTCGACAAAATATACTTCACTTTTGAAAATACATACTCGTTGGCACTACAGGGCTTTTGCAGATATCATCCTTACATTCAAATTACCTCATTAACCCTAACTCTCAGGGGTGTATGTAAAATTATACTGAATGGGACTGTTAGGGTTAAAGATAAAGACGAATGTAAATATAAATTATTTCAGTTAAGATCAAAGTATTAATCTGTATTAATTACCCCTCTTCTACTGGGAATACAGCAACAGCTGCAGACCACAGATGTACACATCAACAGCAGAAATATAACGCCCTTCGTTTTAAATGGCATATTTCTTCTTCCCATCTTCATTGATGATGCAGATGTGCTGTTGAGCAATGAAAGGTCAGACACCAAAATTAAACGGAATGCAAATATTATCAAGAAAGGCTGCTCAGAAGCATCGTTTCCCTTACTGAGAGGTATTGTTGGGATCAGCTATTAAAGAGAATGCACTTGGCTTCGTAAATAAGCATTTGACAACGTATCAGTGATTTGAAAATATTGCCCTCCAGTAATATTACCAAATTAGGTGATTTTTTTTTTACGTGTAAATGAGACAACCCAACATACCTGCTTTTCCTTTCATTAGATTCACGGTGGGGAACAAATTCTGGGGCTCAATTTTGCCACCTCACTGGGTCACGTTATGGGAATATTTTCTTTAAGGGCCACTGCTGTGTGAAGACAGGAATTCCAACAATTCCAGAGGGCGCTATTTGAAACTTGCAGCAAGACTTAAGTACACAACTGAGTTGTTGAGTTCATTCTCGTAAGAGTTACAGATAACCTATTTGAAGCACGCATTGGTTTGGGTAAAATATTTTCTGTTTGCTCAAAATTTAACCACTTCAAATAGAGCCCACCTTTTGTGCCTGCCATACTTCAAATAGACTAATAAACAACTTGCTGTCCCTTATAAACAAGTTTAAGGTTTCCTTTCAAGTCATGTTTATGCACCTAAAAACAAATCAGCAATGGAAATCTCTACCCAGGGTACTCACACTTAGATCTCTGAAGTATTCATTGAAGTCCAGTGCATAGCCAACAACAAACTTATCAGGAACCTCAAAGCCAATATCTGGAATTACACCAAAATATTAAATCAATATTTCCCATTCAGTTAAAACAATAAGGACTGCATTAGGAAACTGTCTTTCCCGTACTGTTATGGTCTTGGTGTTGAAAACACACAACAGGGGGACCACATCCTTCAGTGACTAATGGTTGTCCATTCAATATGCAAAAACATGTAACTGGGGCCAAGGACAGTTAAACTTGAAGTACATAGCTCCATTCGTTCACTGCACGATTGATCATCTCCATGTAGGCGTGCACCCCTTTTTCCAAAAGATAGATTGCAAAACACTGAGTTCTGTTATTCTGTTTTTGGATGCATTGTGCAAGCAACTGCGGCTCTTTTTGTGGTTCTGCGCCAAAACAAATCGAGACCAGTCTCCAGTGTCCTCGAGGATTAAAAAGTCTGAGTGTTCTTCAAGCAAATGCAAAAGTGAAGCAAAGTTGACATCACAAACGATTTGCAGTGAAATTCGCAGGAGCTGAAATTATCCAGCAATTCTTCAAAACTGATAACCCTTAGTGCTGAGCCCATGCACATACAGTGTACATGTATTTGCATTGTTTACAATATGTAGGAAACGCAAAGACTTCTCATCACTAGTTTTAAAGTTTTCTGTAAAACTTTGTAAATTGTGTAAAAGCAAAACCTGCACCCGCCAAAAATTGTTTTTGCCCCTCTGCCCTCAGGACACGTCAAACAAAGACACTAATAAACAAAACAAACCAAAAGGAAATGCAGAACTGAATGGTAAGTGCTCAAGTCCGAATTTCTCTGACACTCTAAGCCCCCCTCCCACATGATGGTAGTTCGGCTTCCCATTACAAATGATGCATAGCATCTGAAATTTGGGAAAGTCGTTAGCATTTTTGGCACTGTTTTTAATGTTAGTTTAGTGGTGCGGTTAGTGTTAATTGGCACAAAATAACAACAGCAAGAGAGGTTGGGTGGCGGGTACATGTATCGAATGAAGTAACCAACACTTTGGAAGGTACTAGTTGCATGCATTAACCCTAACAGTCCTCAATCCGTCACCTGTTGGAGGACTGAGGACTGTTGGTATACCAGGCAAATATGGGACGGAGGGGTACCCTTCCTTACCTGTGCAATCCCTATACACCCTGTAGACTATTGTTACCTAACACATCCCCCCTAGAAGTCTGTAAAGAATTCCTGAGATTTGTGTTGGTCAAACAATGACCAACACAAAGGTGAGGGGGGGTTCTCTCCGTCCCATATCTTGCTTCAAATGACTGTTAGGGTTAATAACTATGATGAACCTCTCTTGGCACCACATTCACAATGAAATAGAAACATTCCTTTTCTTTCTTTATTTCCCATTTCACATTTTCCCGAAATGTACCCCACTGGAGAACCGTCCAAATAGGGTAGGTAGGAATGGAGGGGAGTCATTAATTGTTTGGGCCCCAGTGGACATGAAAAAACGAAAAACAAATGCCAACGTACAATCTCAAAAAAATAATGGCCCAAACCATATTTACATAAATATGCTACATTTTTACATGAAGTAACCAGCTGTTATCTGCAAAGCCTACATGTAGATATGCTCTCAATTTTGTGTTCTTCACGGTGAATAGAAATGGATGCACCATATGGACCCCCGGACAGACAAACTATATCCAAGGGTATGGCTCTCCCCTGCTTTTCCCACTTACAGTCTGGCCTGTAGCCAACACTCCGTGGCGTCCTCTTCACCAGAAGACTCACAACCTTGACCAGAGCCGGCTTGTACTCTCCAATCAACTTGAGCAATTTCTGCATGGTGTTCCCTGTATCCACAATGTCCTAGGTACAAAAAGAAGAGTTGCACTGCAGAATGTTAAACACACATGTGGGTAAGTCTAGAAATTAGGGGTCCATTTTTTGTGTGTCCCTATCACATCTGACATATGAATTTGTAGGTTCAGAACACATTTTCTAATTTTCAAAAGTGATGAACTAATGCAAATTACCCGCTAAACAAATGGTAATAGTTTGAAATCAATTCCAGTGATATTTCCATGTCAAATAACAAAGGTCAGATGGAACAGAGACATGAAAATGTTACACTTTTGGACCCCTGATTTCTAGAATTACCCATGTACAACTGAAAATTGCCAGATGCAATATGATTGATATACATAGCAAATATTTTAAAGGCCATGTACAGTCACACCCAGACAGGACATAATTGACCAACTACTGTAGAGCTGCATCAAAGCTTGTGAAATATTGTCTAATTACATGTTATACATGTATCCATACAAAAATGGAGGCAGGATGAGCAAAATCTAGGACAAATGGAACTCAATGTACAAAATTTCATAGGACTACCTAAGGGTGTAGCTAACTTGCAAACTGCAATGGATCATTTCAATCCCCCCCCCAACAAAAACTATTTTATGGTCCTTTTTTATTTCTTTCTCCACAACAGTGCTGGAGGATTGCACAATGTCATTAACCAATTAATGTTGTTTACAGTGGCTGCATTCTGTGCATATTACTGAACCCATACATACATGAAGGTAGCAGGGTACCAGTGACAGGTAAAAAGGAACAACTCAAAGAAAAAAAAAGGAAAAAAACTGTCACATTTTACTTGTATTTTTTCCTTTTAGTAAACAGTTCGCTCATATTTTCTTCCCCGTGCTGTGAATAAGTCTCTTGAAAAATCCAATCTCTGTGTGTCTATGTTTCCCCGATTCTCATTGGTCAATAGTTCAGTCCGGATTTCTGTGTGTGTTTTTCGCAGTCCAGTGAACACAACCATATTAGGAAAGACAAGTGGTAGTGGCTGTGTGTGTGTGTGCAAATGGTACATGTATGCATCTTTTGTCGAGTGCGCCATGGTTAGTCTGGTCAGTCAAGTGTGAACATTCTTGCCAGTTTTTCTTGGGGTGCGGTCCAGTCAGTTGAGGATCTGAATCCACTTGATAGCAGGAGCTTGATTTGCCTACAGCAGTTTTTTATTAGCTGTGACAAGGTCCATGTTTCCTTGTTTAAGATTGCTGATACTAAGCAGCATTTCCAGACAAACAATCTCTGCTGCCTTTCTTAAAACGGGTAGAAAATCTCCTAACCGTAAGTAAAAGCTTCAGCCTAATTTTACAAATATCTTGTTTTAATTTACTCCAACTGTACCATTGTGATTGTAGTACGGCCAAATGTCGTTCAGAAAATAATTCACTTAGTGCAGAGAGAGTAAATCAGATATTGACACATTACTCTTTTAGATGGCACTTAAGATTTGGGGATTGGAGAATCTAAGCCCATAGAAGAAAGCTTTCACCAGTTGATGCTGGGGCACTGTAGACTGCACTAACCTGGAGGAGACAGTCTATAGGAAAGGGACATGAAAGGGACCACTTTGAGCCAACAGGGCCGTGGCTCTTCCTAGTTGGATTTGGCTTCTCCGTGTAAGAACTGAACTGTTTTAGGTTGTGACAGGGACATTTCAGCAGAGTTCCCAATGGAAGGGCTGATAGAAGTGAGACTGAAAGCGGCAAAAATTTTGTGAAAGTAAAAACCTTGTAAATGGACCTGGAGAATTGATACAGTTGGAATATAAATCCCGGTGAAACCTCAGTGAAACTGAACCGTGTTTATAGGGAAACTTAAATGAATTCTGAAGTTAGAGGTAGAGGCAGACAGAAGTAGATTGATGGATCCAGAGAGGATATGGCAATTGAATAAATTAAAGTATTGAATGAGGTTTGAGAGTTCAGTGGATCCAGAATTAAGAGCATTTATAAACTGATGGAAGTTGTAATTTGTGGTAATGTTGTGCAGTGAATTGAAGGAAAATGTGGTGTCTGGATCCAATGCGTTCATAGTCGAGATTTTCATTTATGAGTTGATGGACTTGTGATGTCATAATCATATAAGAGGTTAAATTACTGCGAAATTTATTTCAATCTGGTACTGGTGAAATTTGAATTTTGATGGTAAATTTTAACTTACTTCGTGGGTGGTGAAATTTGAAAAGTTGTCTTTTTATAGAGGGGGTAGAGTCCTCTTTAGAAAGTTAAACATCTTGGACTGAAAACATACTGACATTAATATCATTAAAGGAAACTGCACATAATTATCTGGGGGTTTATTTGTTCATCTTTGGAACATACTCGATCGCTTTATTTGAAGTAAGGAAATTAAAGTTGTTGGCGTACTGTAAAAAGAAATGTAAAATGTGGATGTTTTCCAATTATTTCATGAGTGCATGGCATTTATCGCACACAATAATTTGTCCGAGGGAGTCACAGAAAGTGACTATGTGACAAAAACTGAAAAAAGAATATGTGAAAATGAACCAAAAATGTCACTGGTGTCTCACTGAAAACGAGGTTTCCCAGTAATTTTTAAGTTGATTGCAGATATTCAGTCCCATAAGCTAGAACAAGTTCCTGCAAAGCATGCCCTTTCTTGTTCCCTGTCGGACCAGATACCACCAAATGAACGTACATCATCGTGTTTGCTGGCAAAAAAAGGGCATTCAGTGAGAATTTTACGTACAAGCACGATCAAGAAATACGCAACAGGGATGTATATGCCAAGCAAACCCTTTAAACATGTAAACAAATATGGATCTTTTCTCTAATGGTTTTGTCAAGCAAACACAATCTGCAATCAAAATGTTAAAACACAAGTATCTCATTTCTCACCTCAACAATGAGGACATCCTTGCCTTCAAGATTTGAGAGATTGTCTCCACCAATGACTTTAATATCCCCAGATGACTTGTCATTCTGGAAAAAAGAATGAAATAAGACTTTCGATTTTTATGTGCACTTGGCTGCAAAAGCTTGCTGCGTTGCTACAGAATACCAAAGTGAATACGTCCCACACACAATTTTGCGTGTGAAAGGCATCAGCACGAGAACCAGCGTACGAATCAATGAGCACGCGTACGAATCAATGAGCCCGCATACTCCATTCGCTTACACTACACTTCCTGGTTCAAATGACGTCACCCTTCAGTACTCGGTAAAAACAGAAGATCAAATCTCACTGAACGTGTACCTACATGTCTACACAAGAAGAGTAACTTCCATTGCTTATGAGTCATGTTTAAATATTTATTCAAAGGAAAGTTTAGCCATTGCTTTTGTTTTAGAGCCTGTCATATGCTGGTCTTACACAGTTGGTAAAGCATTAGCCTGCAGATAAGAGCACTCTTCCTGTGTCACATCCTTAGTATTTCAGGACAGCATCATACTTTCTATCTTTTCAATTTTTTTCTATTTTCTCTTGTCATATTACATTGTATTCATGGTTTACTTTACATGTACTTTTTTATTCATATGTTAATGAAAGTATGGAAACAAATGTTGTTTTTGAATTGAATTGAATTGGAATCATGACAAAGATACTGGTTGTGCTCTGTTGAAATGTAATACATGTGACCTATTCAACTTATGCATACATAATGAATAGGGTACAATGTGGTCAATTAAGGGCACCATAACAGATGTATTTCTTTTGTCCCACAGGAAAGCTCCCTTTGTGTTTACCTTGTGGAACAAAAGCACCGGCTAGCAAGATGGCAGCCATGCAAACCCTCTATTGGTTAAACGTTAACAATCTTCTCTTGTTTTGTGCAGTACTGTCAATGAGTCTGTATTTTGAGTTCCAAATTCACACTGGGAGTGGGGTTGGCATAGTGACTCTTTCCTAACCTTCCACCTCTGCGGCTCGGGTTCGAATCCCGGCCCGGTCCACATGTGGATTGGGTTTTCAGTCCCTACCTGATTCTATGGGTTTTACCCAGAATATTCCTCTCGGGTTTTCTTCCCACCTCTAAAAACTGTAACTGCTTCTCACTGTCTCCTCTCTACAGGTTTCTTAAGGGTTGCGAGCTACAGTGCCTAGGGCGCTTTTGAGGAATCCTTGGTGTCATTACCAGAAATGAATAAATACCAAATAATAAAAACAACTGGTTCATCATGTTGTTCACCACCAACACAGTACACATGTCATGTACCCATACACCAATGTCCATGGGTTGTTCACAACTGCCTACTAGAGGCATATATTACAATGTATATGACTGGAGGGTGTTTGGAAAATACGAAGCGAAATAGTTGAAGGAAATATTTTGGAAATTTTTTCCAAACTAAGTTTTGACCTGTTATCTAAAAAGGTATAATTAAGAATGGGGAAACGTGCTTGGCCGGTCTTAGATGTTCGTTAATTACCAGCCTGAGCTCAGGAGATTGGACATTCAAAATGTCCTTTACCTGCAGCTAGGGGCATCATCAGTATCCAAAGCATATTTTTATAAAGTTTTATAAAGCTGTGCATTCATAGTGCCACAGCACAGTATAATACATTGTCTTATCTATTGTACCTTATGGCTTCACCAAACAATAAGGTCACATCCTCTTACAAGCGACAGGACTGAATACTACGTTTTACTACAAGTAGTAATTCATAGTATTATGTAGGGTTAAGGTTCTAATACAAACGAACAGCGTCTCGCTGATTCTATCTGTATCGTGAAGAAATCCTTCGCACCATTACAAACCTCATAACTCTTCAGGCGTATGAAGTCTACCACAAGCTGTATTGATCGCTCTGAGTTTCTGTTCAAGGCCTTGATGTAGTCCAGCAGATCGGAGCAGAACTTGTAGCCCCCTTTCAGGACGCAGAGCACGACCAGCGAGTCTTTGCCCATGTCACTCACAATGTCTCGTGCCAGCCTCTCTGTCCTTTGGGCAGGTTCAAAGACACCAAAAGCTTCATTATATCCGGGGACCAGAGAGCCGAGTTTAAATTCTTGCATATTATAAACCAATGCTGATGCCAATCAATGAAAATGGGCAATTGCTGTTTCTTTTTACTAACTAGAGCAGTGGGGCAGTTTTATCACGGATAACAGGATAATTTCTGTGGTACTTCACAATTTTAAATTTCTGCTTTCTACGTTTTTTAAATTCCTGAAACTGTCACACTGTATGTTTATGACTGTCTAACCTTGTAAAACAAAAACAATGCATAATCAATCATAGTATCAAATATCACAATGATCCCTTGTTTTCAGTGTGCATGCACTCTAAACAAAGAACACTTTTCACAATATAACTTTCACCATTGGTCTCACCTGTCTAAAATGACTCCATGTGGGATAAGGATGGACTCCAAATCTTGCTCATAATGTCTAGGCACACAGAACATACTCAGATTGTAGCCTTTGACATCATCATCAATCTGGGAAGAGAGATGGAAGAGGCAAAAACTGAAAAAATGAGCCAGTTCGGTAATTTCAAGGAGCCGAGGGTTTACGGGAAGAAAGCGTTTGCGTGAGTCAGCGCATAGATACACTTATAGAGCAGACTATTGCTCATGTGCCTGGTGTTCTTGGAGTACAGCCTCGCACTGGGCATGCATCATTGCATGCTGAATTGGCTAACTTATGAGATAGGAAACGATGATATTAGCATAACAGGTTAAGAGGGAGCCAGTTCAAATGTTCAATCGAGTATTCAAATGTCCATTCAATGAACATTTGAATATCTGGTAGTACGAATTCCCACAAAGGAGAAAAAAAATTGCATGCTTTTCCAAATAGTAAATACCCAAAATCTTGAAGGAAAGGTTACGATCATGTGGCATAACTATGTCCATTCAGCTGCCTTTCAGTTAATTGCTAACATCTTGCAATATGCTTTTGGAAAGCAATTCTGTATCCAATACATGTAATTGAATTGTACCCTTTACTTATTGATTTTCACCACCAACTACTGTAGTCCCCTATTTGATGTTAAAAGTAAATATTTAAGATTTGATCAATTATCCGAATATCTGAATAACTGGCACAGCTCCACTATAGCTGGTTCCATCCCTCAGGGTGCCAGGCTTGGTACATGTAGATGCAGTGGCAAACAAGGCTACTATCAAGAAGGGTGATTCAGAGTCTTTGACACCTTACAAGCAAATGCATACAATTAAAAATCTTTTCTTTTTTTCAGCAGCCTTGATGCCAATGCACGAGTTCTCAAATACTAACTGGATGTGCACTGTATTTCCCAGTGGCTTCCCTGGAATGGCATTGCAAACTGCATCTATTAATGGTGCTACATCTAAGTACTCACTCCCAGTCTACTAATGCACAAAAAAAAGCTACTGTCGACCCACGCTCAACTAATTTTACATTTGAAATTTTCCTTGCTATTTTATGCATGCCTTATTCACTGGCTTGAGTGTATAGCCTAAACATGAATGGCAATGAAAGGGCAAACATAAATATTTTACAGCTTTAACTGCGATGCAATTTTTTTTCTGACTAACTTGTATCATTGCATTGATAAGACACAATACTGTATTCCTGTGCTGAATTAAGAAAAAAAAAATAAAGCACATTTACAGGACTGTATCCATGGTATCCACTCTGAACTGATGTCCAGGTCACTCTTTGAGTCTTTCTACACGTGCATAGATTTCACTTAGAGTTTACTTTACATGAAAAAACTATGCTGCAAAAAATGATGCATGCTCTGCTATGTGACCAGTGACAGGTATCCCACAGTCTGATTGTGCAAGTAACTCTGGAGTGCGTATTGATTGAAAAGAACAGGACAGTTAGGGGCCTATATCATCATCGGTCATCGATGAATGGTGGCACTTATCCAATAATCGTTGGTTTTAAACAGTTGCTCTCACGATTTTGAATTTGAGACTTGACTAAGCCTTATAACCTAACACGTAAATTCAATTCCATAGGCCAGGCTATACGCATGTACATGTATGTAATCCATAGCATAGAGGAAGGAGCCAACAACAAAGGCCTAGTATTAATAGATCTACATGTACCGTCGGGGGCCTACATCATGGTCAACCATCATGTCAACATGTGACAAATGTGACTCTCAGTCAGTGTCCAGGTGTCGGTCCATTAATTGTATCCTTACCTTTATAAAATCTCCCATGATTAGTTTTGTTCCTTACACAATTTTATACACTTCTTGAAAACAGAACAATGGTGTTGCAATGCAGTTTCTTATCAGTGACGGTTATCTCAGACATGTATGACCGGACCATGCGGACAAAAGGTTGCAGCAGAGGCCTAGCTGCAGTGCGCACTCAAAGCGCGGGAGATTTTTCCCGCAACTCCATGGTGCATAAGTTCAGTGTGGCAAACTGCTGGTGCCCTGCCTTTTAACATTAACAAAGCACTATAGATACGTCTGGGACCTGACTTACGCCAACAATCTCTACTAAAACACATGGCGTAAAAGGAACACGAACACTTTAATTAAAGTAGTAGCAAAATTAATAACAAAGGCTTCTTGCCCATAGGGCCGGGTCCTGCCGTTTTACGTCACAACAGGTGAGGGAGTTCATGTTGAACCGGGCTGGGAATACTACTCCACTATTCATTAAAGTGGTCTCGTTGTCTGTTTTAGCAATTTGTCATGGCGTATGAAGGGTTGGAGAGTACCCTTAAGAGAGTGTTTGGGCCCCGCCCCCGATTGCCGTCATTTGATTACTTTCGGCATCCCTTTGGAAAATTGTGTGTACGTCCCACAATACGTGCCCTAACGGTCCTCAATCCTCCAAATTCAAAGTGATTTTACAGACCCACTAGGGCGTTAGGTTGAAAGTTCCACCCCTGAATGAGGCCACCCCCTCTGGGAACTACTCCCCCCCCCCTTCAAAAATTGTGGGACGAGTTCCATATATTCCGCCGCCAGTAATTATTTCCTACAGTGCCCTATTCAGAAAGCTAAACATGTCCAGACTAAAATCAGTTTGGGGGAAAAATACGAATTCATTTACTGAGAAAACACTATTTTTCAGACCAGTCACATAGGGTTTGTGCACGGGGTGTCAATTGGCGTCCGTATACGGAATTCTTTCCAAAATTGTTTCCTGCTATACGTTATATACAGTGTGCACGTACGTACGTACGTACGAATTCCTAAATCTCGTGGCCTGGTCTGATCTGGTGGATCAACCAAACTTAAGGATTTGAGGAGACAATGCAAATGCATCCCAGGGTAGAATGACAGGCCCTTGAAATAATCTCCACACTCGTAGTATAACTAAGCCTCCTCTCCAATAAATGGGAGCCAAAACCCTTTGGCAATAAGAGACAATGTTTTCGTCTTTTTCACGTCCATTACAAAAGTTTGTAATATGCCCCACAATGCAGCCGTAACCCTTAGAAAGGCCACATCCCAATTTTTTGGCTCCCCCAAGGAAACTTGTACCCCGGAGAATTCAGTTCTGGATCTGGTTCCCCTAATCGTGCCTTGCTTGCACTTGAAACAACGCATTTTAACAAAAAAGGTGCATACATGCACATGCTCTTATGATTATACTTGAGACGCTTTATTGACAGTGGAAAATCCGTATTTACAAACTTCAGTTATTAATTATTTATATACAAAATGTGCACTTCGTATCATGTAGGAAAACCAAATACAACAGGACGGATATGAAATGCTGGAACGTGTAATGTACATGTAAAATCATGTCAATGCTTTTCCATATGAGCATTTGTATAAAGCATTCGCTTGAATATGGACGGATGTCTTTTGACAGATTTTGGAGTTATTTATGTATGACTCACTTATGGAATCTTAAAATTTAATGTAGACGTACGTTAAAAATACATACATTGAATGGAGCAGCACAAAAGTTTAAAGCAACAAACGTAAGTACTGTGCACACAGGGGTTACATGGTGACAGGTGATTCATTTGACGTCTAGAACTTTCTAGCAACAAGCATGGCACAGGCATTGACATACAGGCCCCCCTCACACTTCTGAATGAATGCCAGGTGCATCATTTACAACCCTCAAACTCCTGTTGAGTTACATAGATTTTAAAATTTAAAGTAAACTAGACACCTGTGCAGCTGGCAATACTAACTTGCAGTACCTGAAACCACAAAAAAATAGATACCATGGCGTTTTCTGTTTGCGATGAACAAGTGTACATATCCATGTTTAATGACATGTTCACATGCAATTCTGATAGGGCAAAAAACATCAGTAGACATAATCATGGAATGTTTGCATCCTTTCACAAGCAGGAAATAATGGATTCACCCAAGGCTAGCCTGTAAGCACAGGTGTCACAATCGTTTCTGTGTGGAATGTACACTGGCTTCTCTGCAAAGTTTTGGGAGCTGAACTACATGTACTTGTAATTGACTTGTGGATGCTATTAAGCTCTTAGAACCATGGCAGAGGGCTAACATTCATGAATCTATCAAACATTCTAACTGTTCCCATGTGTGAAAGAGATGCTGATTCCATGCCAAGTGGTGGGCAACAACTACATCCTCTTGGAGATCTCCCAGGAGGTTAAAAATACAGTCTGAGCGTCTAGTTGTTTGCAATGTAGATGATCTTGTGCTTCTCTAACAGCTCAATGTCTCTCTCCAGCTGCTTCATCTCGGCCTCCATCCGTTCCTTGCGTGCCTTCTTAGGTGCAGTGTCTGTCACAACCGACAGACCCTGATACTGGTGATGGATCTCCTCCCAGTTCTTCTTGAGCCCGTCCAGCACACATTGCCGCTCTGTGTCTGTCAGCTGCTTCATGGCACCCCGTCTGTAGTGCTCCTTGATGTATTCATCATATTCCTCTTGAGCTCTCTGAACCTCTGCGTTCCGCTTGCGCAGGTAATCTGGTACATCCCCATAACCCTGTTCATGGATAGAATTGTAAAGAGTGATCGATAAGTGGATGAACTGAAATGTACAGGTAGATGTGTACTAGGGCCTCTAAATACTTTCAGGTTGTCAGTTTACAGATAACACGGATGGAGGGAAGACAAAAATATATGTTCGAAATATTGAAAAGATCAATCTGAAATGAAGCTGCTGCTGTTGAAGACAAACTGCTTTGTTTCTCATCCTTGCAGTTTAAAATCCGAATGCGGGCCAAAAATAATGAAACATATAAAAAAACTGCTGCACCTTTCTAATCTTGTATGTTTATTTTCCAGTGTACGTCTGCGTCATTCTACACAACACAGCCAAGAAAATCGATGTATAAAATATTAAATCTTTCCTAGTTTTGAAGACTTTAAACATGAGTGATCACTGACAATGGAAACAGGAAAAATACAAAACTAAACCCACCTGCTTGTTCCGATATTTTGGCACCAGCCCTGATGGTTCAAGAGGATGAGTTGATCCCTTCACTGTGTCGACGAAATTGGATGCTGGCTTCTTTGGCACAGACATGATGTTTTCTACAGCATTGGTCGTGATGAAATTCTTGTTGGACTTCAGACCCATCAGGGGCCTGTCCTCCTTCTTAGGGACCATGGGCTTGCGCTTGTCCTCGTCCGGATATCTGAAGGTGGTCTTCTCCGGAAGCACTGGTTCCTTGGAGTGTTTACTGAGGTAATCCTTTGGTGCCTTCAAGTCAACCTTGGCTGGGCCCATGGTCTTGTTTGGTGACTTGTTTGTCTTTTTCTCCTCTTTCACAGTAGAGCGGAACTTCGACTGATATCTGTTTCACAGCGAGAAAAATTGCATGTACATGTAGGCCTATCTCAACAATAACTTGTAGGCCTAGGATTAGGAAGGACGTCTTCAACTTCAAAATTGATAACATTTTCGTATTCTAAGTGTTCTCTACAAGCATTTTCCTCAGAGTTACTCCTCAATCGAATCCATGACATTGGTTGTGCAAAGGGAAGACTTAATTTGAGGCTGCACAGGTAATTTTGGACTCATCTCACCTGTTCATTGACAGCATAGGCCTTAGTCTACACACTTTACATTTGTAAGAACAACTGAAATGAAATTAAGCCTTGGTTAACTTCCTGAAGCATGATGGTGAGGCCTAGGCCCCTATAATAATTTGAGAATGAAATTTTTGTCGAAAATACATGTAACAGACTCTGCATCAGGATACTGATGCAGAGTAGGCCCCTGTGTAGCTAGGAGGTTTCTCCACAGTACAGGAATTTGATAATAATTTCAGCATTCATTAATTTTTCTGACACTTGGCCGATGAACGGCAGCGTTACAAAGTTACATCCCAAAAACGGCATGAACAATGATGACTGATGAATGAGCTACATGTACATGTACATATATAACATGCCATAGCCTATACGCCTAAGCTAGACACTGATGGAAGATTTTCTCACCGTTGTTCCTTCGGCGGTTTCACTTCTTCATGAGGAATGAGATTGTAAATACTCTCGGACATAACCTGCGTTGTCATATTGTTCTATTTTTAAATGCTCTCTGTTTCAACAATTTGTGAAGAAAGTGATGTTTTAGAGCGTTTTCACTAATAGCGGACGATCTGGCAACGTTGTCCCACAGTCAATGTGTGCGTTTGG